CATACAAAACCACATCAAAGCACACCCAGTGAAGGATTTGAAACAAAGTTAGAATATGCATAAGGTAGAAAATGGCTGCACTGAAGGTAGGAGTACAAAACATGAGTGCATAATTTGAAGAGATCTGCCAGGAGATCCATGAAGACCAGTTTAATAGGGAAGTGCAGGTATCCAATGCATACTTTCAAACCAAAATGTTTTTATATGTAAAAGTGCTATTGTAATTTTAAAAAAATGCACCATTCAGACCTCTCCACATTTTTGTTGGTTTTCAACATAATTATACTTTGCTCAGCAAGGAAATGATTATTTTAAAAACAATGCCAAAAGACTTTGAAACAGCACCCAAACAAGAGAGTATCTTTCCCATAATTACAAAACACTTCAGTCCATAAGGAGCTTTGGGTAAAGACTGTCATTACTGAAGTATTGTGTCGTAAAGGGAATGGGAAAACAAAAAAAAGAAATTTCACTCTCATCTCACCAAATTTCAGATTTTGAATATAGATGCAGAAGAAAATGTAAACACTCTGCATCATTATGAAGCATTTCAAAAAGGACTTGATAAGAAGTAATTCTTGATTCTGATGCGGTTGTTCAGTCTTAAGTTCACAGCTTGATCAGAGTGCAATGAAATGTTTTCAAGTTTGTGCCAAAGCAGTCATACTGGCATAGTTGCCTTACTGGACTGGAAAGTAATGGATAACATCTATCACCCCAGCCAAATAAAATAATAACTAATGTTTCATACCTGTTAAATACTACACAATACTGTACATGCATAATTACAGTCTAATTCCATACTAGTAAATTTTTTCTCAAACATATGAATTCAGCTCAGCAATGTGGTGACTTCAGTTTTTAGGCATATATTTTTCACACTTACATAGACCTGGAATGTATAAAAGTGATGATTTGAGTACACTCTGGAAACATGATTATAGGTACAAATGTAAATGCACACTATTCATTTCCAGATATCCTTCACTGGGAGCTGTTATGCCATAACATAACCTAATTTGCACATCATTGTCAGACTGCAGGCTGTAAGTTTGGCCGTGCCCCTTTTCCCTCATCATCCCCTGCTCACTTTCCATAAATAGCATTTCTGCCCAACAAAAACAGCAAGCAAAACATTTCAGAGCACATAGGAACTTTCCAAACAAAAGTTGACTTAGTATTTTTTTTTTTACTTCAACTTAACTTAAGTCAGCCTAGTTAGAATTTCAAACTTGAATTATGAAACTTTTTTCAACTGGGCAACATTTTTACCCTTGGAAAGACTGGTTTGCAAAGAAAAGGGTTTCCCTTAATGGATCAATGCTTATGTTTATGAAGGAAAAAAACAGTGAAATTATTCACTGAATTTCAAGATCTTTACTTAACAGTGAATCAGGTAACAAACAAAATTGGTACATTTCTACTAGCTGCTTAGAAAGATCAAATAGGAATTAGCTTGCAGTCATCATCACTGCTCTCATTTAATTTTAACCTCATTTTAACATTTGATTCAGGATAAAAAATGTGCACTTTGGAAATTCCAATATTGCAGAGCAGTTGGCATTAAGCTACTCCAGAGAGATGCCTGGAAGCCTTAAATGCACAGAACTTTTCAGCTGTGTAGCACAATAATACACCACTAAGGAACTTCAGAAAATGTTCAGGTACAGCAACAGTCCTGGAGAAGGGGTATTATGTACCAACTACGAAATAACAAAAGCTAGGCTTCATAATAAGATGTATGGTCCAGGTGCTTGGTTTCCTAAAGTCAGTTGCCGATATTGTCTGAAACTTCTACCATAGACCATTCCCTTACTTGAATGCTGTATCTGCAAATTCAGCTCCTAGTTAGTTCAGACAGATAAGGCAAATTACAAAAAAAGGGATAATAACAGCATTGTTTCAAAGAACATGAATGCATCGAAGACCTTGGTTACTTAAGCTTTCTAATAGTTATTATGACACAGCATTATGTTACTTCATTCATCACAAAATTTTCACCTTTGTTTTGCACTCATTCTTCCTGCAATGCGAACATTCGTAGCAACCCTGGAAATGTGCATCAGGAGTTTCCTTCATTTCCCTGTAGGAAATATCTTATGCTTTTGTCACCACGGTGCAGATCCTCATACACTTTTCCTTTTTCAGCTGGGAGCATGACCTTCATCTTCTCAAAACTGTGCTTCTGCTCTTTCTTGTCTACACTGTAGTATAGAGCCTGAGAGGCAACAAATCTTGCAATCGTTGAGAAATTGTCTGTTTTATGAGTGTGAATGAGATCTTGCTGTGGTACAAAGAAGGCTGGAAAGTAGTTGTGTTTTGTGTACTCAAACAACCTTTTGAAAACCCCACAAACCAAGTACTCCAGTTGGTCTTGATCTTGAGTGCTTTCTTCCAAGAAGCATTCCAGTGTATGAAACAAAGCATTCTTTAACAAGTAGGTAGAAATCAAATTGTTACTCTGAATTTCTACTCCTTTCACGGGCACATCAACTAGTTTGCCTGGAACTTTGACCACTCTTTTCGACAATGCTTTGGCAACAACGAAACTCTTTCGCACATCCTCAGACGTATTTCTGAATATCTCAAATTCAGCTGGAGAAAATGACACTCTCAAGAAACACTCTGGATTCCCAAACTTAGCCACTCCATAGAAAGGAACGTCGGGCTGTTTCAAAACAACATAGCATCCAGCTTTAACGTTAGGTTTCAATAAAACTGATGCCTGACGAGCAAATGAAGGCCACCACCCAGGAATGTGCAAAGATGGAACTACATCACAGGATATGCTCTTAGAAGGCATGCTCGTACCCCCTGTCCATCTGAGCCTGAGCTTGATTGCTGGGCTTCGATCACCCCAGGTGCAGACTGGATCTTTACCAAAGAAATACATATGGGCGTTTTCCTTCCAAACAGTGGAATCGTTGAGCACTTCAAGAATAAGTTGACAAAGACGTTCGGAAACCTTTTGTCCAATCAAATATCCATCATGAAAGAACTCATTAAAATCTAAATCAGTTGTGATCTCAGGATGTTTAATAAGCTTAAGCATGATGTAACCTTTAGGAAATTCCACTGATTCAACAGCTGTCACTATTTTGTTGAACGACGTTAGGCTAGTCATGTAATCAAAATCGGAGATAGAATTGCCGGTTGTTAATTTCGTGTTTTCATAGCTGCTGCCACTTGGAATAACATCAATTGTGAAACGAGGATCTCGCTTCTCAACCTCTTGACTCAGGGTTGTCATGAATGTTTCACAAGTCAAATTCATTTGTTCTCTGATGTCTTTATGATCTTTGCTTTCAGTTGTTAGCAAAGCCACTTGTTCAAGAAATTCTCTGTTGTCTGCAATAGGTCGTAGATTTGCTGGCTCAACACTTTCACTATCTGTGACAATGATTTTTTGAAGACAACTAGATAATAAATTTTCTGAAGAAGTCAAATCAGTTTCATTTCTGGACTGTGGTTGCGTTTCAACATCACCATTTTCTTCTGGGGACTTTTTCAGCTGTGTTGAGTAAGTAGCCATGATCAGTGCTGGAAGGTCATTGACTTTAGCACCATTTTGTAGAAGGCTTTCAAGGACAACCTCCTCTCTTCTTCCATGCATGAAGAAATAATTAAGTGGTGACCTACCATAGTCATCGTGCAAATTTATCTCAGGTGCCAGTTGATAGGATTCCGTTACGCATGTTATGCTTGCATCAAACACTTCTGGTGAGGCACATGCAGCAGCATAATGAAGTACAGATCTTCCAAGATCATCAGTTGGAAGAGAATCTGACCCTTTCTTACAGTAATCAAACATTACTTGAAAAACTTCAGGGAAGGGGTTGAACATGCTGAAATGGAGAGGTGTCCTCCCAAGATTGTCACGAGTTAGAGGATTCGCCCCAACCTCAAGAATAATGCGGATGTCATCCGCCTTGACTCTCTGGGCAGCAAGGTGTAAGGCGGTCATTCCTGTAGCAGTGGTTACATTTACATCTGCCATTAAGGGAGCTAATAATTTCAGTAAACCGCTTTTCGGCCTAAAGACACCGAAGTCTAGCACTGCAAGCGGGTAGTCCAGGAAGCAGGAATGTAGGGCATTATGGCCAAAGAAGTCAGACAGATTCGGGTCTGCCCCATGTTGAACAAGGTATCTTGCCACGCGTTCATCACTATTCTTGCACGCCATGGCAATCGCTGGCCTTCCACATAAGTTTACTTCATTTACGTCTGCTCCAAGGGACAGCAGCAAGTTGATTTTGTCAATCCTACTTTCCTCTATCTTGGAAATAGTTGCTAAATGAAGAAGCGTTGTTCCTTCTTTATCTTTTACTTCGGAAATTCTGCCACAAAACTTAGATAGCAGTTCTTCAAATACCTGCATTTCGCCCCAAACGCAGGCTTCGTGTAAAGGCCAACGACCTAGCACATTCTTCCAGGATACACTGGCTCCTCGTTCAACAAGTCCTTGAGCTACAGTAATGTCGCGAGCAAAGTGCAGAGGTGTATTACCAGCACAATCTTGTTTGTTGACATCTACATTTGACTCGAACAAAACCTCGCAGCACTTCACATGATTAAATGTACTTGCGAGCATCAAGGCCGTTTGTCCTTGGTCATTGGAACAGTTCACAAGGTTGGGGGCTTTGTTAAGCAGTTTTCTGAGTTCGTCTTCGTGTCCTCGTCGTGCAGCTGTTAGAAATTCAGAGATGGTTTCTTTCGGTATGCTTTCCGCCATTGCGGAGCCTACTTTTGTTACTGCGCACACGTTCTGCGCATCACGAATACCTGTGATTTCTTTCCTTATTATTACAATCTCGTTCCCAGAGCCTTCGTTACCCTTGTCCAGGATTTCGCGCGGCCATTTTTTTCGCGGTTTTCTTTCGCGTCACGCACGACGGACGAAGCGACAGAGGGACTACTCGTAGTCTAGGTCCTTCGTGTTAGTCCACGTGCTAGGGGTCAGCGAAATGTACCAACCCAAAAGAAAGATTAATAACTAAATTTCCAATACATAATAAAGGAATTTCTGTTACAGTGTATTTTTCAAATTTCTTACATTAACTTTTGGTTTTGTTTACAATACGTCATCGCTTTTAAATAAAGCATTACGCTACTAACAATAAATATTTCCTCTTTCGTCAGCGT